CCTTCTGATCTCCACGTCATTACAGGAGGACACAGAACAAGCCTGTGATTTGTTCTTATCATTTCATGTGCTTATTATGATGATACTTAAAAACTCTAGTAAGTACAAAAAAGAAACCCAACTTAAAAAAAAAAATCAGCAAAACTTTACCCTTTACAAAAAACCAGAAGAGCCCTAGCTGTGTTCAGCGTGTTTTATAACCAGTACAAACTTACCAGCAAGTTGTATGAAAAATCAGGAGTAACAATAAATTCTAGGTCTGTAGAAAGCTCTGTTACACAAAACGAGCTTAGCACAGCTCTCTGCACAGAAATTCAAGTTATGAACAGCCTAAGCAGTCTCCTGAGAGTTACAGCATTTTCCACCTACCGAGCAAAGTTAGTTCAGACTCAAGCTTGATGGCAGATTCAAGTAGCAGCGCCTCCCTATTGTCAATACTGGTTTCTGCTAGAAAATGATGGTTTAACCACTCTGCATATTCTGCATCACTCATCACCTACAGAGGGACAGAAAACATATGGCATGTGTCTGCACTGTGTTTTCAAAAGCATCTCAGAAGTGTCCTCACAGTTTCTTCTGCTGTTACTTCTGAGGTTATTTCTGTAATCCCAAGAGTTACTTCTGTCCTGAAAGCTTGGTCATGGACTGTAAACAGTCTTAAAAATACATTTTTAAAGGAATACCTTCTTAGCAATACACAAAGTGCGCAGCCCTCTTCTGGCATAGTCATCCAAATGCTTCTGAGTTCTCTCTTTAATCTTCTTTTGTTCCAATTCTGAATTACTAGTACCTATTGTCACACAAAAGGTGAAGAAAGCAAATTAAATATGCATTCTTAGGCTAAACTTAGTGGAAAATTTTGAGGGTCTTAATAAATTTTAAAAACACCAGTGTTAACAGGTTTTACTTTAACTATGGCAGTATCTTCACCTTTGCACAATGTACTGTGGCTGTATCTCTAGTAAGCGTGCAGTGTGTCAGTCTGCACAAGCAGTGAGGTGGAACTCACCTGGTACTGGTACATCTTTGAATGCCACTAGTGTTATCAAGCTGTTCCTCGAAGATGATTTTCTAAAATGAACTGGACTATGACACTTGGGAAGTTTTACTGTCATTGGTTTAGTAACATGACTAAAAGGGCAGGTACAGGAAAACTTTTCTAAAAATAACCGTTAAGGGGTGGACTCTTCAGACAAGCATTCACCTCACTTAACTTTGGACATGTAGAAAAAACTTAGGTTCCAAGTTCACCTTGAAAATCAAAGTAAGGAGAAGAACCTCCAGACATGAAATTACTCCTCTAGTAAGACGATGGATTTTGGAGGTACCGTTTCTGTCCCATGGCCAACAGAGGCTTTTTGTCTAGACTTTAGCTTGCTAACGTTACATGAGTTAAAATTCACCCTCGGAACTGGAAACACCCCTTTTCCTCACTGAGGTCAGCCAGCCATCGGTCATACAAATCAAACTCCCTTTTGCAGAAAGCAAGCCTTTAAAAATAATTCCTTTATAGTACTTTCCAAATCATTAAGAAAACTCCCTTGGAACATCTTTTGAACTTAAATATATTCAGTTATTTATTTCTAACACACGCAGATAATGCTATCTTTTTACTGCCTTCACTTAAAAAACAATGACTGTTTGCTGTAGTGTATGAATAAACCGGTTAGTGCTTAAGCAACATGTGGCAGCTTCAAAAAACATTTATCCCCGAACAAAAGGGCTCAGCAGGAGGCACCACACAACTTTATAGATATTATTATTACACCTAGAAACAAAGAAATAGTCAGTAGCCAAGGGAAAGAACTTGAAGAGAACTGATGGGTGACATCTGCTATCAACACCTCTCCCCAACAGCTCAGAGCACTAACATAGCTAAAGGTATCTCACTCTCATGAACACATCTCGCTGTGCAGCAGAAGGCAACTGTTGAAGCAGGTGACCTTACTTTCTAACTGCAAATACTTCAGCTGGCTCCAAAGGGTTTGCTTAGACACCACTACATCCTTTGAATAACAGCTGCTTCTCTCTTCTCGGCTTGCACATCGGCACACAGCACAGCCATACCGAGGTGCCGAGCAATGCTGCCTTTCTGGGTTCCCTACAAGGAGCGATTCGCAGACAATAGTTCTTCTGGTTACTCGTCTCTCCTCAGGATTGGGACATCTGTTCAACTGAACTGGAGAATGACAAAGGTGAGCAAAGGATTAGAAGCTCTACAGGTACCTTCAGATGCACTTCGCAACAAATCCATCATGACCGAGTCTGCACCTTTCGTGTACACCACCACTTCATTGGAGACCGGATGCCGAACCACCACTGACATCCGCTTCCGCACTGAATCAAAAGGCAGGACGTGCAAAAGCTGGAATGTTAAGGACCCCAGACCCGCAAAGTCCACAGTTACTTGATCTGGAGTCCTAGACTGTAAAACACATTTATAAGCCCTTGCTGCATGAACCAAGGCAGCTTCATCTGGACTCTCAGCTTCGTAACACAGTTTAGGTAAGGGAGACAACTCAATAGATGACGCAGCACTTTTGTCTTCATGGTCAGCAGCTACATTCACCATATCGAGTTCCTGAGGCACCTGGGAGTTTTCTGGGCTGTCAGTGTTGTGAGGCTCAGCAGCCCTTGGAGCAGCTCCATCCAAAGCAGGTGAAGTCAGTTTCATTCTGAAAAGGGAGAGTTTGCTCACGAAACTATTGGGGCTTTCAGCTGATGGCTCTTTTATGCTTGGAAGTGGTGAGGAACTTAGTCTCCGGACTGACAACCTCTGGAACACCTGCCTGATTTCCTCAAGTGACTTAATAGGCATCCTACCCAGCGAAGAGAGTCTCATCTAGAACAGAACAGTCAGGAGAAAGCATTTATGTTAAAGTCTTCATATTTTATTATATTAAACAATGACAGCTTACAAACTACATATGTTTCTTAATGGATATAGTATATTAAAATTTATTATGAATTTGATTGCTTGTATAAAAGAGGGCCAGCTCAATTAAGCATGTAACCATACGAGTACACTAAACAGCTTCTGTAAGAGTTTTGTTATTCAAACCAAAAAAATTGTGAAAATACTTCAGATCTGAAAACTGTACATGTTGCAAGTTTGATTCATGACTCCATACAATACTTCTCTTTAGAACTGTTTCAGTAATGAAACAGTTTGTATGAAATTATAACTTCTGAATGTTGTGGCAAAGGGAACTAAAAACTTCAATTCTTCTTCTGTATTAGCAAGATTCTTCTATGAAGAATAAATCAACTCCGTACCCCTCACAGTAACTAGCTGCAAGTACTGTTAGAAATGCAGTACTTTATCAATACTTTTTAATGTCTGAGTTTAAAACAAGAGACAGTTCTCCTTCCACCCATGTTACAAAACAACTAGCTTGCTGTTGTTCAGAACAGTTAGGCAGCTAACAGTTTACAAACAAGGAACAAGGCAAGGCTGCCATTCATTTCTCATTATCGATGAAGAGTTAAGAATGATTTACCACCAGGAAGCATGCTCTCCTTTGCCACCAAAAGGCATAAAGGACAGACTCTGGCTTCAGTTCTACTGCAGTTGCACACAACAATTCAACATCATGGAATCAGGGACTAGGAACATTCTTTTCATCACCTCTTCCCAAGGCAACACTGAAATGTTTCTCTGCCTTGAGCTGTTTTGTCTCATTCCCTAACTGTGAACTCAGAAACCTCATGCCACATTGCCCCTCCCAGCCTACCCTAGTAGTGACCTGGAGACCTTCTCCCCTGTTAGCAAGTCATCCAGAAATACCATTCTCAAAAAAACCCTGAGAATCTTGCCTCTGTATTTTTCTACGTCACCTTTTAGTGATAAATAATTATGAACAGGGCTGTCTCATCCATATGTGGACCTGCAGGTTGCCTATTATGCTTTCTGGAAATGCCTGGAAGCACACTGAAATACCAGGCTATACATACGAGGAGGTACTCGGCAGGATACCTTTTGGGAATGTCTCCAGCCATGGTTGTAGGTTTCCTGCCTAGATGGACACCCAAATTTAGTCTTGAACATGCCACAAACATTTTTTTTCAAAAGACAAAGTCAGTAAATAGAAATCATCAGGTGATGGGGTAAGGAAATCACAGTTGAACTTGGGAATTTTCATGCAACTCAGTCCAAATTGGTAAAAAGTGGGGCTGTGAAAATTCCACCCTGAAAAGAACTATTTGAGAAAGTAGTAGCATCTTTAAATAAACATTAATTTTAAATAAATACTCCAAAAACAACAAGTGGTGCCAGGAAGACTTAAGCACACTCCAGACCACTGAATCAGGACAGTCTAGCAAATACACTCTACATTCAAGGTGAAACCACTGCAAAAAATTTCTTCTTCAGCTTATTACATGTATGAAACTTGATCTTCTGTACTGTTTCTGAAACTCTGAATAGTAAAGCACCAGGTAAGAGCATTCTCAGTTTCAGTATTCTGGGAGTCTTCTGAGATTTTTCTTACCTTTCAGACAACGAAAACCTATTTCTACAGGTCACTGGAGTGTTAAGGCACTCTTAAAGGGAACTATACAATATTTGGAAAAAGATAACTAGAGTATAGAAAAAATCACAACTGCTATTTGTCTTGTTAAAGTTAGGAACAGTCTACACACAGAAGCAAAAATATTGAAGCCAAGTTTTTCTATATCGGAAAAATATTACCAGCATTATATTACACATCATCTCGTACTCTGTGAGTGTACAGTCATTCCCTTCTTTCTAAAAGGACAAAGCAATAAAGAACAGGATCATTTTTTTTAAATGCCAGTTAATGTTTTTTTCCTTTCGTAATCAAACCAAAAGAAGCTCATTTATTTATGAATATGGCCAAATATATAAAAAAAATGGCCTTCTTACCTTCTGGCGTGGCTGATTGGGGACTGAAACTACAACAGTATTACAGACTGCCAGAGCAAGAAAGAAGTCAGTGATGTACACAGTCTCCAAAGATGACTTGCTGCTGCTTTCTTCTGATTGTTGATAGGAACGAGAAGAAATTTGACTGAACTTCTCCAGCAGTTGTGCGTCTGGTACAACATCCGTTTCCTATCGATGAAATTAATAAAACTGTCCATTAGGATATAAGCTTAATTTCAGCCTCTGGAGGTTAAGTTAGTTACAGATGAATGAAGTGTAGAAGCTCATACAACTGCCTTCCTGGCCAATGCTCAGCTGGGTATACCAGGAAACAGAGGAACACACCGGTGTCTTCACTGCCATGTGCCAGCCCATTGGAAATGGCAAACTTCATGTCCACACCAGTGAACAGTAGAACTTTAGTTCACAGACACTTCAGCAGAGTTTAAGCATGGTAAATGCTATTTAGACACTTTTGTGTACAGAAGCAGAGTTTTACTTCATGTAAACTCCCAATAAGTATTAGTCACCTCTGTATTTCCTACTAAAAGCCAAACAAAATGCTATAAACCTCTTAAAATGAAAGAATCAATTGCTATCAAGGTGAAACTGATCATTTTAGCTGAAGTGATCATGGACTCATAGCAGCAAGAACCGAAGCACACACCTTTGCAACTCAACAAACATCTGCAACATCAACTGCAAATAGGATGCAGTCAAGCAATCATGGAAGGCTCTAGTTCTGATGGAAGAGATAAAGGATTTCTTAAATGGCAAGCACTCCAAAAAACAGCAGGAAAAAGATATTCCTTCATGAGCTACTTGAGAAATTTTGATTCAAAACCAACAGCTTTACTTACAATGGGGCTGCTAAAAGCCATGTGTCCTGAGTGGGGAACATCACCTTCTCCCTCTTCCCTTCCTAATGCAGGGGAGCTACCAGACAACCGATTCAAAGGCTTTCTGTTCGAAGGTTCATTTGCAGCTCTGCAGTCGTGCCCCTGCCATTCTGATACATGGGCTGAAGAGTGACACTGACCACCAGCTGTATCTTCATCCTCCGAATCCATCTCTTGATAAGATTCCAACCTTTTTGCTACGGAAAGGAAAAAAAAAAACAACAAATACACTCCAGGAGCAAAAAGAAACTTGTCTAAAACACTGCCTGAAGGATCAGAAACCAAAATTTTAAAATAAGGAGTTTATCATGTAGTTAAGAACAATCCACAGTTTATGAAACAAAAAAACCACCACAAGCCATCACACTGGCTTCCTGTTTGGGTGCTTCAAAAAGTGACACTCGACTGGAGAGAATCCAGAAGCAGGAGCAAGAATGATCCAGGGTATCAAATAACAGCCTTGAAGCACATGAAGGGCAATTGCACAGAGAAAGGAAACAGTCTGTTAATCACAGAACCATAGAATGGCCTAGGCTGGAAGGGACCTCAGAGATCATTTAATCCAATCTCCCCATCATGGGCAGGGACATGACAACTCATGGAAACACATGGGGACCAAGCGGGGATCGAACCCACGGCCTTGGTGTTATCAGCACCTGTTCTCTGTGCACACTGGGGGTAATAAAAGATACAATACTGCAGCATGACAGACTCGGGCTAAGCATCAGCAAAACTTTGTCAGAGAAGATATGACATACTAGAACAGAATGCCTGAGAAAACAGTGAATTGCACATCACTGGAAGTCCTGAAGAAACAAACAAAAAAATGTTTGTTAAAATGACAGCAGTGATTCAGTCTTAGGCCAGAGAAACAGGACCAGATCACCTCCTGATATGTTTTCTAGCCTAATTATTTTATGGTGAATCAGGATTGTATGTCAGCGGTTTGACAAGCACAGCTTCTAGCAGAAGCTCAGTGAAACTGTGTTTCTTAAAATTTCTGTATTGACATACGTACCCAGTTTCTGAGTATTTAACTGCAGAGCAGGTTTCAATATTAAAACTTTGTCCTGGCATGCCTAACACCTTTGCACTGAAGATATAAATGCAGCCCTGTGACCCACACACAGATCTAGCTAGGAAGATGACTGCTGTAAAGAACCTCTGCAGCAAATGAAAACATGCCTGTGCTCTCACGTGCCTGTTAAGAACACACCCAAGTGTTTGCACTGGAGTTCTGGGGCAGTGTGTGTCCACATGCAAGAGGCTGCAATCTCAATCCAGACAGCCCTAGAGCACTGTACGCTATTCAGTTTTCAAGTTTTTACCTGTCACTCTGAAAACAGCGTGCAGTGAGTGCACGCTGGCAGTTCCCCATCTGCATCCACAGACAGCATGGAAAAACTGTTCTGAAAGCTGTGCAATGCCTATTTATTACATTAAAGTACAAATCCAAACAATGGCATCCTAGGAAAAAAGCAATATTAACATACAGACATCCATAACACCAATAATTCCCTGTTTTTTTCTTATTTAAAAAGTGTCAGCTACTGTACAGGAAAGAAGTGAAAAGTGGGATATTACTCTGTTTTATACGAACCGGAAACCTATCCACAGAGCAGATTCCCCAGCTCTGGTGCTAAAAAATGAGATGTAAATAGGTCTGTTATGTCACTTCTGAGGCCTTTTCCTCCCAGCCAAAGCACAGGAGCTTAGCTCTGTTCAGGAAATGAGCTACAGGATTCACTAGCCTGTTAAGTTCTTAGTATTTCCTGTTGCCTGCTCTTCCAGGAACATAAATGAAAGCCTTCCTGTCCTTCATCTCACCATTCTGATGAGTCCAAGTAAAGTAGGGAGACCAGAGCTTGCACCTTCCTTGGTACACCATGTCCCTGATGTCAACATGAATGCATCAAAGTGGTTCTTTTTCAAAAAAAGTAAATCCTCTGAAAATCTACTCTATATTTTATTGAAGTTGTTCATTCACCAAGTTTGCAACTTGAAAACATCTCTTCTCACTTTGCTGTCGTCATCCTTCTCAGGATAATTATGCAAAGCCAAAGAAGCACCTGGACAACCGCACCACAAAATTTTCACAGTATGTGCCAAAATTACCATAAAAATGGTTTGTAACCACCTGCCCTTGTGACACAACAAAGAAGGGCTGGACTGACTCTTTGCTGGGGCCAGCAGGGTGTGTCTTTTGCTCGCAGCTGTGAGCAGTTCTGTCCCGCAGCAAAACCCCAAAGCGGGGTTTAACAGGCAGCTGTCCTTCATGTGTCCCCCTGCCAGCACCTCACCTTCGGTATCACTCACAAGCAAAACGGCAACTGTCTGCAGCCACTAGTACTTACATAGAGTAACAGTAATAAAAAACTTTGTGGTTTCATGTAGTTAATAAAAAAGCAAATTGAATCAAAGACTTCATGTCACTACCCAGTTTTCTCTCATGCCTGGAGTGGCATCTTCTGGCTCCCAGGCTTCAAGTAGGTTCTCATGAAATGTATATTAAAAGAAGTTACACTAAAAAGGCAACGAGGCAGCAACTACTCAGTTGCACTGCTGGCTGACTTTTTGACTAAAACTAAACTTTGACAGAAGTACTTAACCTTTGCAGTCTTAACACAAACATGTACCCACATTGGCTTGACTTGTACCTTAGTATTAGTGTTAAAACCCTGATTTCAGTACATATTTTACTTGGGTTACTGTATCCTCAGGGCAATGCTGAATGGGAGCCTAAGATATATTACATAAAGGTGGCATACTGCTATGGCCCTCAACAGGATGTTTGAAGCCTATACTGCTAGGCAAGCATTGGCATTCCAATTAAAAAATATATATAGAGAAAGGAAAGAATAGATGGGCAATTTTCCTAGGTTCTGGGTTCTGAATATTGCAAGGACAGAAAAAAACCCACACCAGGTATGACTTCCTCCAGAGCAAGTAAGGAATATTCTCTTTGTGGTATCAAATATGTTGGAACTTAACTAGCTGCAAAAGCAGCACCTTACATACAGCCTTCAAGTCTCTTAACACACCACATATGAAGAGATTCAAATAATGGAGAAAGATACACAGCTATTCGTAGCATCAGTCTGAATTAACACCTTGTGTGAGCCCCACAAGTTCACCAGACCCCTATCAAAGCTTTCAGCTTCTCTGACAAAAATAACCCATTGCGAACACATGTTTACCGACTCACCATTTTCTTTATGGCAATACTCCTGTCCTGCAATGCTGCATCTCCGAAAAACCATCTTATTTTCAGTGAGGGTTCCAGTCTTGTCAGAGAAGATATACTGAATCTGGCCAAGATCTTCGGCAATATTCAGAGCTCGACACTGAATTGTTGAGTCTGTTTTCTCATGGTAAAAATCAATGTCATTCTGGATTAAATAAATTTGTCCCAATTTGACAATTTCAATTGAAACATAGAGCGAAACTGGGATCAAGACCTAGCAAAATGGAACATGGGGATTAAATAAAATCAAACTCTTTGGCCAGTTACAAACATGAAGTAGCTCCACTGAAGCTGAAGAGCTACTTCAAAGATATGAGATCAGAATATGACCCATGTACAAAGCAGACCAAAGTTACCTGTAATAAAATGATCATCGTCCAGAAAATATTGAACCCTGCTAATGCTGGAGGAAGCAATTTCCCAACCGGTTCAGGCATGTTAAAAAAAGGTATTTCTGAATACCTACTTAACCAAATTCCATGGCCTTGAAAACAAGAACAAGATAAAACGAGTCAGTTGTTTGTAAACTGTATTGTTGTAAACTCTTCAGGGTCACGGTGTTAGCTGTTATACTCTGCAGTTCTTTCTAAGCTTTCAAACTACTATTTTCTCTCTTGAGATTTTCCTCAACAGGAACCCCATATTTAATTAAATATCAATGCACAGAAGAATAAATACCTTACAAGCATTTCTATCAACAGCACATCTCAGAACTAAAGGAATACTAACTACACTTCATAAGCACTTCCCTCCCCCTGAAACAGCTTTGGCAATTAACTGTATTATCCCTGCTTGTCCAGGTTTTATTTGAACACCATGTCATCATCATTAAGTGTACGCTGAAAAGTTTTTTCAACATTTTTTAAAAACCTTTTTGATTTGTCATAAAAGTTAGTCTGCTTAGATTTATTCAGGCTCCCTATTTAAAAACTAGCGACTCCTTACAACTAGTCAGACTAAGCCTCTCCTCACAATGCTGTACATGTGTCTCCTGTTACCTGAAAAATCTTAAGAGAAAGTAAGAGTTTTGCAGAGCAATTAGTCAGAGAAAAGAGAACTGAATTGGAGAAGCAGGTTCCAGACCTAAGATCTCACACCAGGAACACACTTCTTGACCACATCCCAGACTAAACAACGTGGCAGCATCTCTAAGGGCTAGGGAATTACACATGGATAAAGGCAGTTTCCGAGATGGGCTCTTAAAATGAATCAGTCCCAAATTAAAACAACAAGTGTTGTAGGCTGAGAGAGGAAAATAGTAGGAGCCTGATGATTCTCACTTACCTATTGCACCAGTCAAACACATCAAAATTAGAAGCAGAACACACCAAAGAATATCAGTGTTCACTTTTCTTTCCAATTTACTGCGCTTGTAATGAGGGCCACTATTATTCAGCATAGCTTTGGTTTCATGACCTGTAACCACAACACAGGTTGAAATTCTCCAACAGCAGGTATCAGAACCACAAGTGCTTCATACTTCTAAAGCACTGGGAAACAGGACATCGCTGTTAACTAGTATTTGAACAGAAATTACAGTATGAGCAACAAACTGCTCCTACAATATATGAATTTTGTGCTAACGAAAACTGAACAAGCTAAACTAAAATCTCTCATGTACGCATTGACTTTCATACTGTCAATAATATTCCTTCCTATAGAAACAATCTTACTCTTCATGTTTTCTATATTATTTCTAATATTTTCTACAAAATCCTGCACCTGCATTACAATTATCTGGCTGGACACATCATACTGATCACTTTAAAAACCTCTGCCCTTTGATACAGAGCACTGAAGAACAGCACTGGCTTCAGAAAAATATCCTAAGCAAGCCACACATCTCCATGTCCATTTCAAAACCTGGGTACATCTTCGCAACTAACAGCTGAGGACAAGGACCCGTTCACAGGAACAGAGCTGGCTTCCCACGAACAATCAGACACATCAGTTCTTTACACTGTTAGAATAGAAGCAATCTTAATCCAGATGTGCGTTCTTAACGTTTCTAGCTAGAGCTACCTTCAAGCTTTTACTCCTCTTATTCCTCTTTGTATGATACAATTTCTTAGGGCACATAACTCTTATTTTGTTTGCAAAGTGATCTGTGAAAGCTAGGGTGGTTCACTAACCTGCATATACCACTATGCCCACAACAGCTTCTGTGTTTCTCACTGTGCATCCTCGGAGCAGCAAGTTCTCCTTGCTGAGGCCCACTCGACCTTTGTTTGAATGCTCACTGAAAAAAAAAAAAAAAGCACGTTACTCCACCTGTAGGACTCTAAGAATTGCCAGTCAGTCTTTGCAGAACTATTAGGGAGCAGATTTCCCAAAGAGGCTGAGAGCAACTGACTGCCACTCTATTTCCAATTAAACTTTTCAAAAGAATGGGGTAACATGCATGCAGACCAGCTCTGAAAATCCAGACATGTAAGCACTGTATCAAAATTTTCTTATGTTCACAAGTCCAACATTTGCCAGCTAGTGTATGAGAAGAAGGCAACACTACTGAAAAGAGCTCAAGACAAACACTTGAAGTCTGAAAACCTACAATTTCTACTTGGATTGCAACATCAGAAAAAAAATTAACAAAATTTAAAATTCCATTTTAAATATACTGTGAGCATTGTTACTCCACTGACATACTTTCAGAGCAGGTAGGGCCACTGTTTGTCACAGTCCTTCCTTAGAGACTAAGATTTACATATATTTATTTTACTTTTTATGTTTCTAACATGTCAGTGCCATCAGGGAAGCATGTAGACATCATAACTCTCAAAACCTGTAAATCAGTCACCCCATGGAAGAGTGTTGTGCTTTCCTATTGTCTATACAAAATCATAAACCCATAAGAAGAAAAGACACAGATAGGTGCATCGGTCAAAAAGAAGTTCCAGCAAATCACTGATGGTTACATAAAATGCAGTAAAGCAGGAGAGGAAGCCAGTTCTTCCCATTTCCAATTCTGAGCAATGCAGCTTGTCCAGTCAGGCCAAGGTTCAGACCAAACACTGTAGATATCAAATGCTATTAAGAGCAGATCTGAAACAGCTATTTCAAATATGGAACACACACTTGCAAAGAACCTGAACTAAGACGTTGAAAATATTCAATACAAAATAAAAAGCACTAGTGGGCTTCCCCAGCACACAATCTGCTGCTCAGAAAGCCCTTCTGGAGCTCCATCTGCTGGGCTGCCCTCAGGAATGTAGTCGTGCCAACTGACGTCTATATACACTGTCATTTTTTAAAGCAAACATTATAAGCTGAGTATTAGTTAAAAGCAAATGTATGTAAGCTGAGTATTAGTTAAAGCAAATGAAAATAGTTCGAAGAGTCACCAGGCCTACTTACACAAAGCCTCGGAAGCGACTGAGGTCATTGTTCGGACTTTCACACTCTATTCTACTGGAAAAATGTTCTGGATCTATTTCAGAGACCTAAAACCACAGAAAAAAACCCCAAACAAACAGAGAACTCAGATAAAATATGATGGAACTTGAAAACACCATAAATTCATATTTTCACATATTAATATGTAACAATACAGCTTCAGAACTGTAAGATCCTGGTACTGAATTGATGATACTTTGAGAATACTGGAAAGGAGAAAATGGGTGGAAGAGTGAGGAAGAAGAAAAAATGTGCAGTAAGAACATCTGAAAAGCAGAGATTCCCCACAGTTGATTTTTTCTTTGGTTGGTTTTTCATGATAAGGGGAAAAGAAGAGGCACTTTTCTTCTCTGCAAGCAGAATTCCTCCCAAATAGTCATTGTTTCCAATACCATGACCAGAATGCTATTGGTGCTAATGCAAAGAAAGCACATAGAACTTTTCAAGGATCTCTGAGCTGTGTCAGTATCAAGGAAAGGGCTGTTATAAAACACTGGGAATACACGTCGTGAACAAAGAGCAGGTGAGCTCTTCAGTGATGAGAAAAGCCAAACAAATGTCCTTTATTAATAAAGAATGAAACCTGACAAGAAGAAAGAGAAAAACCAAAATGTCGTATCTTTGGAGTTACCTGGAATTGCACTTGCAATCTGATTTCAGTTAATGGCATATGAATATGCCTTTGGTATAAGAGAGCTGTTTCCAAGCTCAGTACCTTTCACTAACTCTTTGGCAAGTAATTTGTTCTGCTCTTTAGAAAAAAAAAAATGACCAATTTAAGGTTTCAAACTCCAAGGATAAATCTTTAATTCCCAGGTGCAATTGAATACCTCCTCTATGCAGTTAGAAGACTCAGAGAAGGCTGCGCTCCCACAACTGGGTGCCCTCACACTGGCAGTATACCAATTGTGAGGTTAAAACACAACCCTATAAGTAGAATTTAAAACTTTGTTGGCTTAATTAAATTTTTTTTTGCCATTTTGCTGTACTGATTTCCTGCACTGTATCAACTCAAAGTCAATATGAACACAGTCTTAGGCAGACAGACACCTTCAGTCTCTTTGCAAATTTAATTAAGTATGAAAGACATCTGTCTCCATTAACCTTTCTCATGTTTATTTTACGGGAAATACAACATTTCTGTAAAATCTTCAGCAGTATAAAACTTCTTTGTGCCAGCATCCAACATTTTGTCTGCTAGGCATAATACTAAAGAAAGTTTATTTGTCTGGTATTAAAACAATGGCAGTCATCTCTCAGGTATCTGAGAGATTGTATATGAGTATGTATATGAATTACTTATAAAGCCTTAACCTTATAAAGCCTTCCATCATTCCAAAGCATAGATCAATTCCTCACCACTACCTGGTAAGTGTAAATCCTCTCAAATTCAGTGATCATAGAATCATTTAGGTTGGAAAAGGTCTTTAAGATTACCGAGTCCAGCCACTGCCAGGCTCACCATGAAACAATGTCCTTAAATATGTCCCCATGACGATCAGTCTTGAAAGGGAGAGATGACACAGTAGGCTCATAGCAGAAAAAAAAAAGAGTTCCAAAAGTTTTAGAAATCCTTGAAGGAATACAACTGGAGCTAAAAACAAATTTGCAATATGAAAAAAAAAACAACAGTGAAAGAGATAAGATAGTATCTACTTCTCTTCTCGGTCATCACAGAATTCCCTTCTAAAAAATTCAATTTCTCATCCGTGACATGATATGCACCATAAATGACTTTGTGAAATCTACCTGAATGGTTACTTTTACCATGTGGCATACTTGAAATACATCTCTCTTTCTCTGCGTTAAGTGAACATGCAAAGATTTGCTCCAAAATAACTCAACCAACAAATTAGAACTATATTACCAAGTTACTTTGTTTTCAGACAGGGATTGCTGAGCTATCAAGAATTAGGCAGTCTAGGGATTTTTTTGTTTTTTTTCTTGATCATCTGTCATGTCAACTTGTTTACACCACTAGAAATGCACAATTATCACCTGCTCTGAATATCCTTTCACCACCTGCCTCTGCTTTAGATTGGTTTCTCCATCAAGGCCTGCTGTTTCAATGTAACAGATGCCATCCAGGTCACTAGAATATAACAGCACCATGTCAAGAGTTCATTACGTGAAAGACGGATGAAGTCCCCAACATTGATATTTTTCCAGCATTCATCTATGTATTTCTTCTCCTTCCTGAAATACAGATAAAAACAGTAATATTTTTATAAATGCATAAACTGAAAGCTCGGAGAAACACACTGTAACCAAAAAATTACTCTAATAGTTAATTCATACTTCCAAGTCATTAAAAAAACTCTGATGAGATTGTCTGTTAGCTCAAGGTGAATCTAATTACACATAATCAGTTCTGGGGTCCAAGTCTTGTTTTTCTGGGAGTTACATTCCAGACATCCTCCCAGAATAATTTTAGCTCTGTTTAAAATTCAACGCACTTGCTTCCTGTATTTTCATTAGTGCAAGAAAGAAAACAGTGGGTTTGGGACTTTTCTTTGGGTCACCACTTTTTCTTGCGGTTATGCAACCAAGAGCAACAATATTTTCCCCTTCTGATAGGGCCTTCCAAAAACATCTGTCTGCCAAGATGGTGAACATCTACCAGAAAAGAATATTCAGCAACCACTTCAGTAATGCTCTAAATATAAATACCTGCATTCACAAGCTTTAAAAATATATTTTCCATTAATTTTTAATGTAAGGTACAATACTCAGGAGAAGTGAATAAAAGTTCAGGCCCATCAGCATTGAGTCAAAATGCCTTATTAATATGAAACACCCAGGTATGACATATATTGAACCTGAACTGTTTTCAACTTTCTGTTTATAGCTTCTGTTCTGCCCTCAGCTGAGATGAAGAATCTTCCCTTTATGTAACCACAGCACTTTATTGCAAGCACTGTCAGGTTTAGAGCGTTGAAGAGGATGCAAGGTAACAAGCAACAAGGCATGTTAGCTGGAAGCACGGAGGAGTAGGCTACTGCGACACGGGTGGTGGAACACTCCTACAGCTGCTGTTACAAACCCCGCACAGCTATGGATTAAGTATGTTTATGTAAGAATTACTACTGCGCTCAGTGGCTGTCTGGCTTTTGTGCCTTGTACAAACCCTAGAGAGGAGCATATAACTCTCCACAGTTTCTTCATTTCTTGGCCTTCCAGATTGGAGTGCAGTCTGGGCTGTCTTCCACGTTGTGCCTCCTTCCCTTCTCGTTCTCAGCCAGTCAAGAATCATAGAATAATTAAGGTTGGAAAAGGTCTCTAAGATCATCTAGTCCAACCATCCACCCAACACTGCCATGACCACTAAACCATGTCCCAAAGTGCCATATCTACATGTTTTTTGAACGTTTCCAGGGATGGCGCCTCCACCACTTCCCTGGGCAGCCTGTTCCAATGCCTCACCACTCCTTCAGTACAGAAATTTTTCATAATATCTAATCTAAGCCTCCCTGGTGCAACTTGAGTCCATGTCCTCTTGTCTTAAGAGAAGCATACCAGGCAGTTGGGAAGTGCAACCTAGCTTCTACAGCACTGGCACGAGCATGGACATTGTGTGTAGGCTGGTGATTATTTGCTAGCTTTAATCGAAGTGCTATGTAAAATACTGAAATAGAAACAGACACTTTTAACAACAAAGAAAACATCAGAATAATATTCCCTGTGTCAAGCTTTGCACCCATGCCTTTCAGACCTGCCTTATCTGACAGCACTCTTTGGAAAATGCCTGTCTACAAACAGAAGGCACAAAGCCCACACAGTGTACTGTGATAGTTTTTCCAGTGAAAATAAGGTGGAAGTGGTCTGAAAGTACAAACAAAGCAAAACCAGGAAGCACCAAAGGCTGACATGAAATTAAAGAAATATAAAGGCATATCTGTTTTCTCCATAAGATGCTCATCACCAGTTTTCTACACAGATGGAAAACGGGCAGAATGGAAAGCATGTAAAATTTGATTAAAAGTACAGCTGCATCTATCACAAGATGGACAGATTCAAAAAACACTGCAGGAATTACCTTTTCATACTAAAAAAAAAAAGATTGAAGGAAAAATGTCTATAAAGTAAATTAACAAAACCCCATCTAATAATAGAGGTAAATAAATAAATCTAATAAAAAGGTAAAGGGAAGGAAGATCTGCTGAAGCAGGATGTGAATCTCAGCTATGGAAAGTACAACTCAGGCTTTGATAGCTGCGAAGGTGATGGCAAAGTACACTTCTTCAGGAGATCGAGTGAGCTGAAAACTAGTGATTTTTTTTTCAATTTTTACTTTATTCTTAGAACTACTGCTTAAGCATTGAAAACTACATCAGCATAACTTTTTGTGTAGGCCAATTTACCCCGCTCTGAAGGCCAAACGAGTCCAATTAGGGTACAACAGCAGCAGGAGCAGAATGCCCTGGTCACTCCACAACAGCACCCTTTTACTTCACCCTCCAAACAGGATGGAAAGGATTTGAGAACCCAGGAGGGTGGAGGGAGAAAATTACTTCCACGGTGAGCTTGTATCTAGAAGAGTCAGAGAAAGGATGGAAACAGAAAGGTAAGTTAAGAGAAAATAAGCTCATAAAGAAAGCAATGGTATCGCTAATGTAGTAAAGTAAAACTAACAGGTGAAAAAGTTGTCAACTTCTGCCACTGATTTCTATGGGAATTTTTCAAATTCAACTGAAATGTGCAAAGCCACAGAAACATTTGGAAATCAAAGATTTTGTGACAAAGCAAGCCTTTGATTTATCCTTGATTTATCCTTGAAGTAATTACTTACTAGAGATTAAAAAAGGAGAAAAGCTTTCATATTCTTGCATCCCTGTACTTTTTCTATCATGTATTTCACAAAAAGCTATGAAAATCTATTTGTCTGTGCTGCCAGGATTGAGATTAGTCCTCAGGAGGTGGAAAATACTTCTCTATTAAATCAAAACCTAATAAATGTGGGACTGAAAGTACATGACGCTTCTTTCTCCCTGATGCATCTGGACAAGTCTCACTTGTTATTCCCAGGCTGGAAGCTGGGAGAGAAAAGAAAAATTGAAGGTAAGGAAGAAACTTGTAGAAAGGATTATTCTTTCCAGAACTCAATTCCATAAAGAAAAATTGGGTATGAAATTAATCTGGATTTCAAATATGTAGAATGATTTGCATAAACATGCACTTGTAAAGAACAGTAATTGTAACATATCTAGACACAAGGCTTGGAATGAGACAGAAATATATTTGAGAGGTTGGCAGAAAAGGGGAGAACAAAAACTATCAGCTAGTAAAGCTATCCATGCTGCTAATGATGCAGCAAGTGGATCACGCACATATTCTTTATCCAGTTCAGCCCAAAGTCAGACATAACGTTAAACCAGCAGGTCAGTAGTTCTACTGAAATGACAGGAACTACAGGATGTTAACAGATGCTCAAACAGAAGTGCCATCATACTTCATGAGTTAAGGCAATTTAAAAAAGATCCTACTACTTTAAAACGATAACTTGCTCAAAATGCACAACAACTTGATAACTAAGTATTTAACATCCTAGCGACAACTACACACTAAATTAAAATGCACATTGTATTGTTTACTGATATGTTTTATTACTCCACAAGGGAAAGATGTGATAAAACTCCCACATTTTAAGCAACACTATCTTATTTTATCACATATTCAAGACAGAAATAAGCTTTTCTGGAAAAATCGGCCTCTATGTATTTAAGGCCAAATTCAGTAATTCTAATCTATCAAATGCCTACATTCCAGAACTCAAAAAAGCAGCAGGTTGAAAACTCTGAAACCATGGATGTCAGACATTTGCCATGCGTAAAAGCAAATAAGGGGGGTGGGGAAGACGTCGGACTTGTCAAAACGGCACAGAAACACTCAATTGCTCAGATTTTTCAAGGCACTGAGACTGACACGTTTTGTCACGGATAACAGAGCACACTGAAACCAGCTACCACTATGGACACTTAACTCTGTGTAAAAGCCAAGCCTCCCAAGAGTTCGAGAAGCAAGGAGGATCACGGCTCTTCCTGAAAATGCTTCATGTAAAGTACCTGCAGATACAAACAGGTGGCCGACCAGCTCTCGAGCACGAGAACTATTGCTTAGTTATGTTGAGACAGCAAGAGCAAGAAGAGCCTCTAAATTAGAGCATTTGTCTGAGTACCCACGTAGGTCTCAGTATCTAACGTGTAAGTAAAATTACACAGACAGCGTGTACAATGTGCACAACTTCTCCAGCTGAACAAACACACAGTAAGAAAATAACGAATTTGTACTCAGCGATACCTACTTCATCATGATGATAATCGATGGGATGATGCTTGATTAAATGCATGCTCTGAAAGAGTGATTACAATTTCTAAGGGATTCTTGTTGAACAAGTTAAGAAATTCTGAACCTTAATGTGAGATTAATGGAAGTTTAGGTAAATTGGGTTAATCACTTTTGTACAAGATTTAATTCTCATGAGCCATACCTCCAAGCTTATTTTTAACACCAGATTATACTATATAATTCATGACAAAGGAAGCAAGGAGGAAAAAAAAGTTACAAAAGCTAAATACTTGTAGGCACAAGAAGCAGTTTTTACAGATGACTAAATGGCCACTGATCATTACACATTTTTGGTGATGAAGAAAGAATGAATCCAGAAGAGAAGACCAGAAATTAATCCTGCTTCATTGACACTGACATGCGATTGCAAATAACACAATTTTCAGGAATATGGATATCAAATGCTTCAGCTTTCTAGCAATGAATCCTTTCAGGGTACATGACAATTTATAGCAGAAATAATCCATGTTCTCCCTTAAGCCTTCTCCGCAGACATGAAAAGGAAAGAAAACATTTATCTTCCCTAATAGCCCAATTACTTCCTTGTTTCAAGCTCAAGTTTCTATAGGTTGAGTAGAACGTTTCTGGGAAAGCTGCCATATATAATCATGTTTGCAGAACAAAAAGCTGTTTGGTTTTCTTTTGATGATATAAAATCATAGTCCAGATTTTTTCTATGGTTATGAGCTAGCTCTTAAAATACCAACAGAGTATGGCAAATGCCAGGAAGACGCAGATTCCATCTTCTGAGTAATATGTATTTAAATCATTATGTAGTACCAAATTGCAAACTTGCTGCACAAGCTGATTAAGGTTGCGTCTACAGTACAGAGTTTAGGGTTTGGCATAAACAGCTGTAACATTAAATTTTCAGAAATGTTTATTTTCACTGTATTGCCTTCACTAGGAAAAGGTGCATCTTTAATGAAAAGAGGGTCCTTTAAAGATGGTTTGGCACTACAGCAACTACTGTATGTTACTGCTTAGACTTCACTGAATTTGTTAAGGTGTCTAACTGCCAATCAGTCCTCTCCTACAGGCGCTATTTGTGACATTTTTCAAAATACTTGTGGCCCTGCATGACCACAGAGCATACAAGAAAGTAAAACAGTCCCCTATACTTCCTTTACCTTTGTATTTGACGGGCTGTGAATGAGTTTCAGAAAATCCTTTTCTGACAGGTATAAAAGAAAAACAGTAACGTGGGCAGCACTGACATTTAATTTAGAATATGGTCAGTTGGAGTTCCTGCCGTTTTATTATCCATGCTTAACATGCTTAATATCTGCCTGTCAGCAAACCTGTGGCCATGAGCACGCTCCAGCCCTGACCTCCACCTACGGTTTGTAGCCGTGCACTCCTGCGCTGTGGAACGGATGCTAATGCTGGTACCAAACTGTGTAACGCACACTCATAGGAAATGATCTCATTCTGTTCGGGGAAATGTTATTATACCGACACCATTAATGAGGTTTACCAATAAAATGATAAATTAGCAACCCTTGAATTTCCGTGATGCACACAGCGATTTTAGAGGAATTAAAAATACACCTGTCAAAACCAATGGTATGTACAACAATGCTTATGTAGTCAAAGTGCCTTTGTTAATATAGTTCAAACTTGGGCATGAACACTCTTGCCTCAATCAAAGAATAATTTTTTTCACCAAAGTTTACACTAATTTAGTAAAACGGGTGATCAAGACTCAACTAGACTACTCCCTGAGCAACCTGATCTATTTAGATCTGTTTTGAGCAGGGGGCTGGACTAGATGACCTCCAGAGACCGCTTCCAACTTACATTATTTTATAATTCCAAGAATATCCAAGAAGTTAACCAAAAGATTTATCAACAACTTTTTCACACACACTCATAATCAAATAAACACAATAAACCAGAAAGACACTCAACTCTTACCTGCTATATACTTTGGTCAGTAAGTTGTTTATCTGTTTATCCATTTTGTACTTGGAGTAATCCTCCAGTCCATCCTTCACTGCAATAATTGTCAGAACTGCTATTAGAGGTAGCATTGTAATTTCTTTTTGGAAGGCTTCCACCAGAGGAACCCAATTTAGGACAACTAGAAATAGGAAATACAAATTGGCAACTCTGAAACAAAGAGAAAACACAGAAGTCAGCTGTGAGAGCAGCCAGCCATCCTTATTCACTCACCCCACGCTATGTAAACACTTAAAGTTAGTAATTTTCCTCACCTCAACTTCAATTTAATAATTGAGAACCCTGAACTCTGTTTTCACTTAGCTGCACAGTTGCTTAACATGCATGATCAGATGATGCAGAAACCAAGATTTTTCCTGTATTTTCAAGCCTGTCCTCCAGGCACATACCTTCTAGTGAGGCTTTGGTAAACTTGCATTCTCTCAAATTTCCAGGTCTTTCAAACCTAATCATCCTCTGAGTGAGATGACCTGTTGCTAAATGGGAGCCATCCTACAACCTCCCTGAAGAACTTTGCAAATTAGCAGTCCTCCAAGCAGGAGGATGAAAAAAAAATGGCAAAAGAGGAAGACATGAGAAACACATTTGCAGGAAATGAGCTGAAAATCCTACTGCAGATTGCTGTGTGGCAGTGCTCCAAGAGTAAGGAATATTTCAAGAATCTGAAAGACAGAATTAGTGGAAATTACCTAAGCTATGGAGAAAAGGATTAGCCCAACACTGATGATACTCAAGGAACTTTGGTCAGATAACATAGATCTTTTCAGATGTGATAGGTCAGGAGGAAGAATATTTTTTTAATATCTGTCTATATAGTAACACAATACATTTAAATAAAAGCATCCACTTCAAAAGAATTATCACGATCACAAAGGAGTTCATTACCTGTGAAATTGTTCAAACAAATTCCGTGGTAAAAAATTCAATAAAGTATACTTAGTAGTTCGTATTTTGTTGTTCATGTACAGTTTTGATACTTTTTCATACTCTTCTTTAAAATGTCCCAAACAGGGTATCACTATCCTATGTTTGCCAATGATTTTTGATGATTGATAGCACTTGTTACTTGAATTGCTGCTGCTGCTACCTTCTCTGCCCTCTGTAGACACCAGTCGCTGCCAACGGTATCGGGCCCAGCGGATGGGATCTGCCATTGCACCTGAACTGCTTTATAATCCAAGGAGCGTCCTCTATCTGGAAACAGGTTAAAATACAGCAAGTTAAGTAACAGCTCTGTAAAGGCTAATTTCAACTAACAGGTCATAGTTTTGAATAAGCCTAAGAAAAATGTCAGTTCTGTATTTTGATTAAAAAACCCAAACAGACAGTTAATAGGATATTTGAGGTCAGGAACCTGTGCTTCAAAGGTTGAATTTAGCTGAACTTCATCCACTCTTTCAGAATACTAGCATTTGATTACTTTGTTTAAAACACACAATATTTTTGTAATAGCACTTCATGTAAGCAGCCCACCCACCAGTTTCTCACGCCATAGTATGCTGAAAAAAACTGACAAGCTGCTAATTCTGCAGAAAGTAGCATTTTGAAAGGAATCCTTATCTCAGACACAGCAGTCCTTCCTGATGGTTAACAACCTTTATTAAACTCAGGAGTCAACAATATAGCAATAAGCGTTGGAGTACAGCCTTTGACCTGAAGCATGGGTTTGCCAGTGAAAGGCACTAAGTAGCTATTGTGAACAAAAAACTCTTCCTATTGAATTAGAAACAGCTTTGAGAATTTTTACCAGCTGATAAAAGGATGAATAAACTTCATATGAATGCTTCTCCTCTATTCACCTTAGCTAAACTCTAGCAATCTACCCAAGAATTTGTTTTCTCAAAGAAAGCCAAAGTTCATAGGTATAGGCAATACTCACTTTATCAAACCACCTAATGCAGTCAGAAAAGGACTTTTTGCACAGAAAGAATGCTTAATAGAAGCTCAATACTTCTGTTTCTTACACTGAGGTTTTTTCCACAATTTGTGATGACTTTTTACAGTTAATAGTTGCTACATTTTTTGTACTACTTCTGCAGAGCAGCTCATCTTATACTTGTTCACAAACTATACCCTGTGAGCCTCAAATCACCAGTACAGCTACTTCTTGCTGCAGACTACTTTCCTACCATCTGGTATCTCATCATCTTACATGATAACAAAATTTTTGACTAAATCCTCTTCCTAAAACCTCACACAAAAATTGCCCTAAAACTTGCTAGGTCCTTCTAAATGAAATCTCTTCACTACAGACTACTCTACACAGTCATCAAACTAATTCTGCTTTTGGCTTCCATCAACTTAAACTTCTATTTGTGTGGTATCTCTTTCTCTGTCATTGACAAATTCCATTCTGAGCTGCTCAGATTCCTCAGAAATGTTGCTGTAAGGAATAGTTTTCCAAACTATCAGTTTCACATCATCATATCTTCTCTTATATAACTTCCGTGAATTTTCCTTTCTTCTATTACAGACGAAGAAATCTTGAAACATGAGCCCAGGGTCCCCAGCAGATCCTCCAGCAATGAGGTAGTATTAACATTGATCCATTCTGCTCTGAAAAAGAAGATTCTAGAAACTTCCTAAAAAGCCTGGTCCACTGCATCACTGTCTTTAACTAGAAAGCTTTCCTCTAATGTCTAACTGGTCTCTTCCTTGCATCAAATTAAGATGGTACATTTTTGTCATATCATCATTAGATGTAGATAGTTACTGACTGTTAGAATCTTAAGGTCTTGGAAGACTTACTACATACACGAAATTCATGTTCCTCTTTAGAAATTACAACTTGCATGTGGAGAGAGAAGCGAACAAGGAGACGAAAAAAACTTTATAAAGTACATTCCCTCAGCATCCCCTGGCAGTTTCCATATGAATTACCGGTCTCCTGAGGCCCTTCTATAGTGCTTCCCCAGGCAGTGTAAGGGACCAGTCAGAGAAAAAGAGAATTTCCTTTTTTCTCAGTGCTAAACCTTGTGGTCCCAGTAACCACCAGACTATCAAAGGCAAGCAACTGCTGCCCAGAAAGGCAGCTATGTCTGGGACTTCTCAGAGAACCAAGAAGGAGATTGTGCAGCTTTTAAAAAATATATGGCATCCTCTTACTTTCACACAATGTGACATCTTCATATCCTTGTTCCCTCTAATCACAGAATCATGAAAGTTGGAAAAGACCTCTAAGATCATCTAGTCCAACTGTCTACCCAACACTATCATGATCACTAAACTATATCCTGAAGTGCCACATCTACATGTTTTTTTAACACCTCCCTGGGCAGCCTGTGTCAACGTCTCATTGCTCTTTCAGTAAAGAAATTTTTCCCTAGTATCTAATCTAAACCTCCTCTGATGCATCTTGAGGCCACAATCCTACTGCCTGGGGGACAATCCCCAGAAGGACGGCCTTCTGCATAAAGGTTACTTTAAAGAATAGTCAGACATACGAATATTGATGTGCACAGACGTGCAAGAGATGCTTCAACCCATTTGCACTAATCTGAGAACAAGTCAAAAGCTTGAAAGGCAGCCACGTCTTCAAAAATGTTTAGGGCCTGCAGAACGTGCTGCTAGTGGAGTCCTTACTCAGCTGTGCACTGCCATTCAACACACCTAAAGCTTCTAAAAAACAGATGAACACCAACACAGCTACATGAGTCAGGAACGAGGCAAAGAATAAAGCACTGAAAATTAAGGAATTGAAAAAGCTGACTAGCTAAAAAGAAATAGTTTCTTACTCTGCAGTCTGGCATTTCAGCTCTTAAATTTTGCGAAGTGTCCTTAAGTCTTGGTCATTTTGAGGAAATAACACCCCTCCTTGACTGTCTCTGCTGTGAGAAATCCCTAATTTCACAAGCAGATCTTATGCAATGAGGGGCCTTTTAAAAGAAATGTTTGCTTTAATTAACAGTATTGCTGGATTATCAGGGAGAGTTTTAACATGATCTCTCTTTGTTAAGTTTTTCAGTCTCTCTCAAGCTTGCATCTTCAGCATGAATCATTCAGGGTGCGCCCGTTAACCATACTTTTGTTTGAAACAATACTTTATTTGCCCAAGTGCAGAGAGCTGATATAAGTCTACATATTGTTAACATGTTGTACAACTGTTGTAGAAAACTTAAGTACATAAAACACCACAATTTTTTTCAAGATGCCAGATGAGCCAGGTATTGAAAGAAGGTTAAATCTGCAGAGAAAATCATGTTTGTTTTCATAAGACCATCAAACAAACATCTCATTCCAGTGACTTCTGTGACCAGAAGCTGCAGCAAAGGTAAAGAAACTCTCAAAGTCAACTCCCAGGGCAAATGGAAATGCAAAGTATATAAATGGAGGCTACTGTTCACTTAATGAAATTTTTATATAGGCAAAATAGCCTATACAGCTAAATCAACTTTGAAAGTTTAAGAATTACATTATCAGTAACACGCAAAAAAGATGGGAAGCGAGAGTTGAGAACTGGGAAAAAAAAAACAAAAAGAGAAAATCTGAAAAATTTACAAAAGTTCCTAAATTCTAACTATTTTTGGTTATTTAATTATGTCTTGTAACATACTCAGTGATCACTGCTTGGAAAAAAAAGAAAAAAGGGAGGGGGGGAAGGGGGAAAAGTACTGGACATTTTAATGAAATGGAATGTTAAGACAGAATTTCTCAGCACGGGATCAGGATCCAAAGGTTTAAACTGCACATGCAGTGTGGCTGTGGAGCAGTCAACCCTCACCAAACATCTGCCCCACCCTTCCTCATCCTCCTTCGGAGAAGCAGAGCTTAAAAAGTTACAGGAAACCTCAGACTCAGTTGTGTGTGCTGCACCTCTCTTAACAGTATCCCAGGCACCTTACTTTTAAGAAAACTCCCCAAAAGATGGTAAAGACAAGAAATAACTAACACAAAATCATCACACATTGGAAACACCATATGAGAAGCAACACACAATCTCCCATGGTTAAAAAGATGAATCAATTAACCAGAAGCTTGGGAAAAAAAATATCTAGATCCCATACTCTGCCACAACGTCCTCTGACTCACCTGGGATTTGACTGGGCTACTATTTGCAAATGATTTTTTTTTAATCATTTGCATTTCCATTTTTAAGTAGGATTTTTGAGGTTTCAAACTTCAGAAATCCTATTTGCATTTTTCCCTCTTTTGAATATATTTTTTCTTCTTCCCCCTTAAATTTGGATCATAAAGTAAGGAAGATCCTTTATCTGGTTAATTAAAAACAGGTCTAAAGAGATTCATCAACTTCATGTTAGATACTATAACGGATGAAATTGGTGAAGATCAATTGTTTTAAACAATTTTTCTATGAAATCCCTCCTCTTAAAACATTATTTGACTCTCTTTTTGTGTTATTTTTCACAGTTAAATCTTTATTTCTCTAGTCAACGTGAATTCAAAGTAGTAGTATAAAATGGCAGGTATCGTTTTAAACTCTGGCAAAAGACCCACAAGATGAGTTACTTTGTAGCAGTATTTTTAAAGGCTTGTTTCTGAAAAATAAGTTTATGTTTAACAAAATACAATAACGTTCATGTATTTGAAACCAGGAAACCTAAATTATCACATTTTAAGGACAGTGCCACACAAGCTAGACTCTGTTCTCATTTTCACGCTATACACTCAAGTGAACATTACTTGTTCTTTTTAAATGGCAATACCTGACACAGAAATAATCCAGGTATGTCTTACATGCAAAAAGGCAAGTTCTTGGAGCAAACTCATTAATGACACATGATCATGACGCAGAAGGTCATGATGATCATGATGTAGATGATCATGATGTAGAAGGGAATTATTTGACACTGGATGTATTATTTGCTTTCTCTCTGCCTTAGTTCCTTCATGTACTCTTATTCCTCCTTCTTCTTATAAAGCACTTTGAGATATGGAAAACTGCAAGGACTAGATATGGTTAACGTGCAATAGCTGGCTGACAAATCTTTGTAAAAGCAAGGCACAGCAGTGTCATTTTTACCACAGGACAGATCAACATGATGCACTGTTCATGTATGACGATGTTTCATGACAACAAAAAGCCTTTATTAACCCTCTGCTAGTGGTGATGCTGAGAAAACCTCTATTTTTAAATGGTCCATACCCTGAAAGAAGGTGCTTTCATCATAAAGCCCACTATAAGCATTCTTTTGTA